AGTCTTTCCTTTGGGCAAAGCAAAGCAAATCATGTTAGAGTTCAAGAAAACAGAGAAGTGCACCAGCCCAGTGTTCAGGTGCCCCACGACCACACTTACTTCTTCAGTTTCTCATCCAGCTGCTGCTTATCGTTTTCCAAATCCATTATGCTGTCATGGGCCAGCTTCAGGTCTCCTTCCAGTTTCCTCTTAGCTCTCTCAAGGTCCATGCGCAGTTTCTTCTCTTGCTCCAGGGACCCTTCCAGCTACAACAAAACAGACATCAGTGCTCTGCCAGCCAGGTCAGACTCCATACCTGTCCTGTCCTTGCTGTATGTCTGTGTGCTTACATCGTCCACTTGCTGCTCCAGCTTGGTCTTCGCTTTGGTCAGCGTATTGACTTTGTCCTCTTCTGCCTGCAGGTCGTCCAGTGTCTGCTGATGGGCCTCTTGGAGGGCTTTCTTTTCTTTTGTCAGCTTGGCAATGGTCTCGTCCAGGGCTGCCATCTCCTCTGTGAGGTTTTTCACCTACAAATATAAGCAAGTGTCAAAATTGGTTGGAAAATATGTCTGCTGGTTCAGTGACATTTCCACTTTGCAGTGCTTAGCCAAGAGTTTCGTTTTGCTGCTTAGATAAGACCCAGCTCAAATGTTCCAAAGCCAACATGTCCTGGGGGAACAGGCTCTTGTGTTCCAAGAAGCAAAGATTTTTTGATTCCTTATGTGATTCCCTGTGTGTACCTTGTTTTCAGTGGCATGCTTTTCCTTCTCCACTTTGGCCAACGTTAACTCAAGGTCATCAATATCTTTCTTCAGCTCTGAACACTCGTCCTCCAGTTTTCTCTTCTTGGCTGTCAGCTCAGCATTAATTTCTTCCTCATCCTCAGCCCTTTCAGTCACCTCCTTAATTTTGGCTTCCAGCTGGATTTTGGTTTTGATGAGCTGATCACACCTTTCCTCAGCATCAGCCAAGCTGTCTGCTTCCTGTTGGGGAGATACAGATTTTTGTGGGTTGTAATGTTTTGAAGTTTCTCCTCTCTGTCTTTTGCATCACTGAGCGGGCATGTGTTAAAATGGGGGCTGGACCTGGCCTTCCACTCCAGCAACTGGAAGATCTCGCTGGGAAATCTGTTCATCTGGGATAAACATTTATTCCAAACTTTTTGTGTCTCTTAAAAATGCCTCACAGAAAGGGTAGCTATGAGAATATCTCATGCACTCAAAAGCTCGACAGACCAGTGGTCACTTCGATTACTAATTTTTCCAGAAGCAATGGCTTGGACTTTTTTTTTCTGATGGAAAAAGTATTCAATAGTTTCTTCTTTTGAACTGACTTATCATGAACCTCATAAAATTTGGGAAGTAATGGCTTTGTGAAAGTAATTTAGTTGAAAAAGAAATCTATCACTTTTCTACATGTATTAAAATTGCTTCAAGACCCAGAGTTCTTGCCTTTCCTATCAGCTACCTCTGTGCATTCTTTCCAGGCCATTTCCAGTGCTACCTAGTTGGTAACTTCATTTTGCCTTAAGAAACTGCTTTTTCCTAATTGAGGTTGAATGGGAAGTATCTGTGTTCCTGAAGGTAATGAAGGCCTTCTAGTGTAGCCGTAGGTAGGAAAAGCAGGTCCTTCTCAGGTTTGCCTTTACTCTGTTAGACAGATACATTGCTTTGAAAGTTGACTAGATGGAGATACTTCCTCTCCCGTTTTGAGCTCTCTGTGGTGGATTACATGTTGGCTAGTGTTACATGGCTCTTTCCTCAGACAGTGGGAATGCTGAGTCTCATGTAGGCTGCCATGAGACTCACCATGACCCTGCCAGTGCCTGTTTACCCAGCGTTGGAGTGCCTTAGAGTGTCCGATTTAGGCTGTTTTCTGCTGCACGTTAGTCAGCTTCCTGTGAGTCTCTGCTTAGGATAAGAAGCTTTCTGAATGGGGATCGTACTCTTCCCAGGGACAAATGAACAGTGATACTCACTGCCTGCACTTGGAGCTGCAGGTCATTTTTCTCCTGCAGCAGGACCACCATTTTCTCCTCCAGCTCCTTCCTCTTTGCCTCAGACTTTGCAAGCTCTTCCTTGGTTTTCTCAAACTCTTCTTTCATGTTGGCCATCTCCTTCTCAGATTCTGCACTCTTCAGCAAGGGCTTGATCTTGAAGAAGAGCTTCATCCAGGGCCAGTGCTTCACATTCATGAATGCACGAACATTGTACTGGATGCAAAAGATGGATTCCCTGAAATGAAATTCATATGGCTGTTGCATAGTTTCATTGTGATGAATTTGAACTTCATTAGTCAAGTACCAAGAGAACAAACTAAATATGAGAAATGTCTACCTTCTCTCCACCATTCTCTGATACTCCACTCTCATCAGGAAGCCCCTGCACCTGGCTTGTGTGCGAGTGATAATTTCTGCCAGCTTGTCATCTCTCATCTCCTCCAGGAGTCCCAGCAGTCCAGCTTTGAAGAACACCTTAAGAAGGGAAAAATTGCAGCACGTCATTGTCAAGTAGTACAGAATAGAGGAACAGAGTCTTTCAGGATCCTCTATTTGACCTTAATGACCATGATCAGCCTTGCCTTGGGCCCCCTTCTAAAACCTCTGCCCAAGGGCCTACTAGTTCCCTATAAACTCAGCTCTAAGCATTAAATCCTGGTCTGAGCTATGTGGTATGTGTTTTGGTTTCCATTTCTGCTACATATACACCTGGTCATGAACTCCAGTGAGCTCTACCATGACCTGTGGACTCACTTCCGGGCTTGATGTTAGACCAATCTCAGTGCTGTGTATTTGCTCAGGAATTAATGAATAGTACCTGGGCCTTGCTAGCTTACCTGTATCTGACTCTGACCAAACTCAAAAATCAAGGCTTTATGGCTTTGCCTCAGACCTCCCTTATTGTCACAAACCCACCTGATGATCTGGACTCTTGGTTGAACCTGGATATCATTCCAGGGTCTTACCCACTTGCCCTGCTTAGGTACCATGGGGCTGGGCACTTGCTGATTGAGGCCTCTACTCTGTCAGCTCTGTTAGTGTGCTGTGCTCCCCGTCCTTGACAAAGAAGCCCTCCCTTACTTCTTTCTGATAAACTTTTAACATAGGTCTTGTTTCTACCTTGGTGTGACCAAATCTGTATTGGGTGTGGTCCACATCAATGGACCCAAGGAGCTTTTCTGAAGCCTTCTTGCTGTCCATGAACTGTCCCTCTGGGATAGCACTTGCATTAAGCACTCTGTATCTGCAGAAGAAAACAGAAACAGAACATGAAGAAATCCCCATCACAGAAACCACCACTGTGATTGAGCCCCACAGCCTTCTCAGACCGTCTCATTGAACCAGTCTCATGCCTGGAGGTAGTTCATTCTTTTGGAACAGGATATGGAGAGTGTTTTTACTATTAACTCTAACTGCAAGAGAATTCTGATCTCAGTAGTGTCATATCATCAGGAACTGATGGTGAAACAATTCTATGTTACTGCTCAGTACCAATGTAAAGTATAATGTTTCAAGTATATCATGACACTCAAACTCTTCAGCTTGGTCTGAACAGGCAGAACAGTGTAGTGTTCTTACCTTTGTTTGAAGTCAGCATACAGGACTCTGCTGGGGAATCCTTTCCTGCAAATTCTGATCCCTTCCAGCACACCATTGCACCGCAGCTGATGTAGCACCAGCTCATGCTCCATGGCACCTAAAAAATACCACCATTAGTGACTACCCTGCTGTTTGACACTCAGGAGAAGAGCTTCTGATGCTCAAGTTTTCCTCCCATTAGATCCCCTTACCAGGTGTTTTTGTTTCATTTGGGATGATGCATCGTACAAAATGAGGGTGAGTGCTTCTCAAGTTAGCCATCAGCTTGTTTAAATTCTCCTGTGGGATCATGAAATGAGGTTTATGTTATTAAGCATAAGAAGTGGAAGCTTAATAGTGGACTTATCGTTTGAGTGTTTCAGGATGCAGACCTGTCTTGTCTAAAACATCTTATAGAAATTTGAAAGGGAAATTTGAAATCTGAAGGCTCCCAGATTTTTGTCTATTTGAAATTCTTTTGTAGAATAATGGTTAGTATTACTTTTCCTTGATCTCCTTATACCGATACAGAGCTGTCATCTCACAGTTTTCCTTCCAGCTGGCATTTCTTGTGGTACTTAGCTGGGCATTTTAAGTGGGTGACATGTACTCTTCGCTAAGCGTGACTAGCGTCTGATTTGGCATATAAATAAGTTCTTCTTAAATGAATAGAATATTTGCACAGACCATATAAATTGACCTTTTTAGTAGTAATTCAATCTCCCTAAATATCACTACCTCAGCTAAATAAAAACATTGAAAATCTAACTGAAAACTTACTTCAAAATTCATTAACTTAATGTAATTTAACAAAAAAAACCCCATTGAAATGAAAACATTGCCTTGTAATCTTGCGATTTCAAGGCAACTATTTTGCGTTTGATATTTGATCTATAATTTTTGAAATCTACATTGTGTCAATACTGAAAATCTTCATAGATACCTAAAACAGCTATGGGAAATATCTCTGAAGACTCCAGAGAATATTTTAATGAAGTTTAGCTGATTTGTTCTTGTCCTGGTTTCGGCTGGGATAGAGTTAATTTTCTTCTCAGTAGCTAGAATAGCACTATGTTTTGGATTTAGTATGGGATTTGGTATGATAAGAATGTTGATAATACACTGATGTTTTCAGTTGTTGCTAAGAAATCAAGGACTTGTCAGCTTCCCACACTTTGCCGGTGTGCAGGTGCACAGCAAGCTGGGAGGGAGCATAGCTGGAGCAAGATACTCATAGTTCCTGGGCTAAGATGTGGGCTTAAGCTCAAATTGACCAATGGAATATTCCATATCATGCAACATCATGCTCAGTATATAGATGAGGGTTGGTGACTTTCTTTTCCTGGATCACAGTTTTGGGATTTCTCTCCTCTGGGATCACTAGCTGGAGATAAGACAGGCATTGGTCAGTGAGTGGTGAGCAATTGCATTGTGCATCACATGTTTGTATATTCTATTGTTATTTTTTTATTATCATTGTCATTATACTTTTTATTTCATTTCAAATATTAGATTTTTCTTATCTCAACCAACGAGTCCTTTACCCCTTAGATTCTCTCTCATCCCCCAGGGGCGGGGGAGGGTGACAGAGCGGTTGCATGGTGTTTGGCTGCCAGCTAGGTTAAAACCATGACAGTCCTTTTTAGGCACCAAAAAGGACTGTCATGGTTTAACCCCAGTGAGCAGCTAAGCCCCATCCAGCTGCTTGCTTACTCCCCTCCAGGTGGGTTGGGGGAGAGAATCAGAAGAGTAAAAGTGAGAAAACTCATAGGTAGAGATAAAGACAGTTCAATAGGTAAAGTAAAAGCTGCTCACACAAACAAAGAAAAACAAGGAACTCATTCACTACTTCCCATCGGCAGGCAGATGTTCAGCCATATCCAGGAAAGCAGGGATCCATCACACATAACCGTTACTTGGGAAGACAAATGCCATCACTCTGAACATTCCCCCCACTTCTTTCTTTTTCTCACAGCTTTATATGCTGAGCATGATGTCTCATGGTATGGAATATCCCTTTGGTTAGTTGGAGTCAGCCGTTCCGGTTGTATCCCTTCCTAACTTCCTCCGTACCTCCAGCCCACTCAATGGTGGAGTGGTGTGAGAAGCAGAAGAGGCCTTGACTTTGTGTAAGCACTGCCCAGCAGTATCTAAAACATCCCTGTGTTATCAACGCTGTTTTCACCATAAATCCAAAACATAGCTCCATACCAGCTACTATGAAGAAAATTAACTCTCTTCCAGACAAAACCAGCCCAGTTATTTACTCTCAGTCCAAGTAGGTGAATTTCACCCTTCGGAGATTTTTGTATAATATTCAGAGAAGGTGATAGCAAAACTAAGGCAGGTGGAAGAAATCTGTCAAAATATAAGGATACAATATGAATAGTCAATTGGAAAAAAAAGGCTAAGACAATTTCTTAGGGAGTTCCAGGAGGCTGATAATACCATTCTGTCTCCTGAAATAAAAGACCATTCACGCATTGAAGTAGAGATTTTGTGGTATTCTAAGGAGGTAATTCTGTAATTTCCAAGGATGGCAAGGGAAGGATTTCAAAGATGACAAGAGCTATGACCAAAACTGAAACAGACTGTTCAGAGTCAGAATAAAATTGCTTTCCATCTTCAAAGAGACAACAAGTTCTGTACTTACCCGGAAAAGAGCTGAGACAGTCTGGAAAGAAGAACCCTTCTTCTTGCCACCCTTCTTTCCACCACCACCAGCCTCTGCAAAATTGAAGAAAATGAGAAGATGCCTTGAACATATTCTTTGAGATTCCCTTTTGTACAGTATGAACACGTGAACATGAATTTTATAGAGCTTACCTGCTTCCCCACCATAGGAGGCAAAGAGTAAAGCCAATGTCTTCACAGATGATTTCTGATAAAGCCCAATGACAGTTTCGTTTAGGGGATCCTTGTTCTTCTCAAGCCAGCCAGTGATGTTGTAGTCCACTGTACCAGCGTAGTGCACCAGGGAGAAGTGGGCCTCAGCCTTGCCTTTGGCAGGCTTGGGCTTCTGGAAGTTGTTAGACTTGCCCAGATGCTGGTCATAGAGCTTGTTCTTGAAAGAGGTGTCAGTTGCCTTGGGGAACATGCACTCCTCTTCCAGGATGGAGAAGATGCCCATGGGCTGCAAGGTACCACAAGAAGTGTCAAATAAAGATGATAATGATGTGAAGCACGTATTATGAACAACAAAAGTACCAATGTGTTGCTGGTAGTATCTCAGCTGGATAAGGGCCCAATTTTGTTAGGAGTCGTTCTCAGGCAGGGAACTAATTTCTGCCTCCCCTTAGCTTCCTGCAGCCTGTTTTCACGGAACTGGTAAGAATGTCTGTCTGGTTCAGGTTAGAATTGGGAGTAGAATTGGAGGGAGAAGTGGTAAACAGAAAAATAATTGGGAAAAGAGGTACAAGAGGCCTAGTTGGTTTGGGAAATCAGGTGAGATGATATTTATTTCCCAGATTTTTATGTCGAGTTCTGATTTGAGTCTTCAGAGGAAAAAGTAAAGGAGACTGACTCAAGTTTGTTTTAAAGAAGACTATTGGTGGGAGTCCAGGCTACGTTTTCCATGCTCCAAGACCAGGTAATGCAGGATTGATGACACAAATATGCATTTCCCCAGACTAAAACAAATTTAAATATAATGCAAAATATTTTCTTGAATTGACACTGAATGTCTGGCTGTAAGTTCTTTCTGAGCTGAATCTGGCTCAGAAACATCACAGAATTCCAAAATACATAGTACACTTGTATGGAAAAAATACCTTCTCAATGAGCTCAATGCAGGCAGCCAGGTCCATCCCAAAGTCAATGAATTCCCATTCAATTCCTTCCTTCTTGTACTCCTCTTGCTCCAGCACAAACATATGGTGGTTAAAGAACTGTTGCAGCTTCTCATTGGTGAAGTTGATGCACAGCTGCTCAAAGCTGTTGAACTGCCCAAAGCAAGGAGAGGTGCACAGACTTTCAAGATATGGCAAACACCACAGAGTTTCACTAGCATTCTCCTAACACTGTTTGAAGTTCCCTAGCCGAAACACCATGCTAACTGTGCTGTAACAGCGTGTGTTTCCTTAGCAGGACTTCTATTGTAAAATTCACTGTCCTCAGAGGATTTTATTATTACTACTTTTGAAATCCAGATAAAAGTAGCATTTCTTTTTTACTGCGCTACTCGAAAGCAAATCCTTCAGTAACCTTAGCTGCAGCATCATGCAGGCGTCTCAGCTCTGTGACCTCCCAGAGAGTGGAAAGCTCCTCAGTGTTCCACCCAAGAATGTCTCTCTCCTCAGATCAACAATCCGGGACTTTCTCTGCTCTGACACAGAACTCCTGCTATCATCACTGCATTCACAACACAGGAAACATGCCGTGAACTTTCCCATAGCACTACCCTTTCCTTGACTCTTCCAAGCACATCCACACCTTCAGCCCACATCTGTATGAGCCTTAGGCCAAGAATTGTCTCTTTGTTTGCAAAGCCTAAAACCTTTGCAAGCTCAAAGGCTTCTGAGACCATTCATCAGAAAGCGGAGCTTTCTCCTTTTACAATGTTAGAATCCAAGTGTTAGCAAAGCCATTTGAGGGTGCTATTGTGACAGCAAAGACGGAGGGGTTTCTAGAAAACTGCAGATGAGGATAAACTTCTGAAACTTCTTAAAAAGAAGTATGTTTCTGAGTCCTCATGATCCCTCCTTTGACTACAGTGCCAAATCTTTGTTCCTTACATCAAAGATCTCAAAGCCGGCAATGTCCAGGACACCAATGAAGTACTGTC